CCTCCTTGGATCCCTTTTGCTCAAGAGGCTTTTGCACAAAAAAGCACTGTGTAGTTGGCGTCTTTTTGCGCAAGAAAACCTTTTTGCGCAAAATCCCTTCTTCCTCATTTTGATGAAATTTTGTTTAAAACATTGAAATGAAGCATTTTGATAAACATTCTATTCCTTGACACTGACATTTTATAGTACGCATTACTATATATAGGTTTTAAACATTGTTTAGCAGGAAAATATTCTTTCCAGCTCAGAAAAATAAATGTCAAAAAGTCAAAATTTCTCATAGAATGGAAATTGTTTGAACTAGCACTACACACAGCTAATGGGCAGGGAGAGGGCTTTTCATATGAATTTAAGCTAGTTACTACAAGGCAACAGCTGCTAGAAAACTCATGCCTGCTTTGAATGCAGTAGACCACACAAGCCAAGCGGTTGCCAATGAACCAACATTGTACTGCATTGCAAAACAATGGTCCATCAAGCATGAAAATAATTAATGAAATCAAGGATCAGCTGGATCTAACTGCTGATATCTTCAGATGTTTTTTGAGCAAAGATGTTGTTGCACAGGTATCTTCTCATGATGGAAATAAGGCACAGGATACAAAAGACCAAGGTAGGATATAAAAGACCAAGCTATACATAGAGATGGAGAACAAAGAGTACACCATTCAGGAAACAATATAATCACTGCAGGAGCATTGCTAACACTGCTTGCTACTAGGAAGTGGTGTCAGTTGCAGATAACAGTGCCCGCACCTTGAAGTGCATCACTAAGTTCCTGCCAAAAAAATTACCATCTCAGTAGACAAAAAGTGGAAGAACAGAAGAATTGTTTGATCTCCATTTTAAACAAGGAACAAAAGTAGAGGGAAAAAATAAGTGATTTGCTCAGTCACACAAGATCTGTTCAGATCTTCAAGTACCAGTCACAATGCACTTTATTGCCAATATAATCCTGCTGCTCTACTGGTACCGTCTGGCAGCTGAAAGTGCCAGGCAAATGGCAATTATACCTGACAGAAGGCATGTTAGCAAACTGTTGGGGGTATAGAAGTAGTGACACGTAGCAGATAAAAGCAGAAGTAGATGTCTTTGCCAGTAATAGTTCTCTTCTACCTCAATAGCAAATGGAAATGCCTCAGGCTCATTACTTTAAGAACTATAGTGGTTGAGTTTTGGGATGAGCTATGGCATTTAGGGCTGACAGGGAGTTAAAAATTCCCATAGGGTAAACTGAACTGCCACTCCTTTTACTAGGGAAATGATATAACATGAAGGGGAAGAAAGTGAGACACATAATAGGAAGAAAAGGAGGCATGTAAAAAATAGTTTGCAAATGTAACCACGTAACCCCTAGCAGTGACATGCGCTGTGGGCTCTGCAGTAAAGCTTAAACAAGCTTTATGCTGCAGAGCTTGCAGCAAAACTTCCCCAGGGCTGTGTCCAGACTCAGGGTTTTTTTCCGAAAAAGTAGCCTTTCTCCGAAAAAACTTCACCTGAGTCTAGACTGCAGCCACGTTCTTTCGAAATTAAATCGAAAGAATGCGGCTTTTCTTTCGACGGTGGTAAACCTCATTTTACGAGGAAGAACACTTTTTCGAAAGTGCTCTTTCGAAAAAAGGTGTTCTTGAATGCAAACAGGGGTTTTTCAAAAGAGAGCATCCAGACTGCCTTTCGAAAAAGCGGCTTGCTTTTTCGAAAGTTCCGCTTGCAGTCTAGATGCTCTTTTTCGAAAGAGGCTTTTTCAAAAGTATCTTTCGAAAAAGCCTCTTTCGAAAGAGGCTTGTAGTCTAGATATAGCCCAGGTGTGGGACAGACAGCCCCTGGCAGCACTGCTTCTGGGAAGCCAGCATGTAGCTTGCGGTGGGGGAAAGAGGAAGAATGGACAGGCCTGCCACGGACAGGGGCTGCTCTGGCCAGGGCTGGAGCAGCCCTCTGCCTGGGGTGAGTGGGGAGCTTCTCCAGCCCTTACCAGTTAACTGGAACTTAGGGTTACTAGGTAGCTTCAAAAAAAATACTGGACACACTTGATCTCAGATGGGGAAGGGGACCGGCCAGCAGGAAGCAGGGCTAGCCAGGAGTGGGTTGGGGGCAGCGAGGCTGGGGGCAGCAGGGCTGGCTGGGAGGAGGTCGTGGGGAACGGGGAGAACTGGCCAGTGGGGAGCAGGGCTGGCCGGGAGGGTTTCAGGTGGAGTGGAACGGACCCTGGGGGGAGACGGGCAGGGGGAAGAACCAGCCAGCAGGGCTGGCCCGGGCACATGCAGATCCCAGGGTGCTGCCCATCCCGTGCACAGTCCCAGCAGGATGCACTGGCAAGTCCGGCCCCGGGGATTCCATCCCACCACTGCTCTGCCCCCTCCTCTACTGCATAGCTGTGTACTGCCTGGCTGGTAGACATGCACACAGAGTGTGAGCATGTCTACCAGCCAGGCAGTATGCTACTACGTACTGATACTCATGATAATAAAACTTAATTAGAAAATACTGGACATTTATATATCCAGTATTTTCTCAATTTGTTTCCTGGACAGAAAGTTCAAAACCGGACACCTGGCAACCCTACTGGAACTTAGTGGGTGAGACTAGGAAACCGATGGCTACATGGAAGAATCAGTTCACTAATCCTTACACTTCCACGGGTATAGAAAAATCTTGGAGTCAGTTACCCAGCCTGAAAGCATTTCAGTCTATTATCCATACTGCAGAACTGTTGCAAGGTTGTACCTGCAGCATGTACTACTCCTATACGCAGGAGCAACAAGTGTGATGCACTTTACCTTTTTTATTTTGTCCTATAACAGGATGGGTTTTACTTTCCACCTTTTAAGGAAGAGAAATCCATTTAGTTCTCTGAAATCTCAACAACCCTAACATTCATGGTGGTGAGGAGCTGACACCTTTCAAAGATGATGCCATAGCATGTATTAAACAGGAGAAGTTACAAAACAACCTTGGCTATGTCCAAGATATGCCTTTGAGAGTTAGTCCTAGGATTTTCCATGTAAGATTTTTTTTATTGCTGGGGAGGTAATTGCTACAATGTGATCAAAGCCAACAAACTCTTGCCTGTTCCAATAATAGGTTGCTTTTCCCCTTTAATACAGATATCCAGAGTGAAAAATGCTATTACTCTATTTAACATTGAGAGAGGGGGGAGATGGAGGGAATGGCATATAACCAACAGTATGATCAGGTGACTGATACTGGGTCACTGTTCTTGCCTAACATTGTACAGTCTAGTTACTAGAAGTCTTCAGAGTGTACTAGGTATATTAACTATGAAGGATGGACTGAAATCAAGCAGGTTTGCGTCACTCTCTCAGGTTAAGGGAAACCAGCCATAGTTGAGTCAGTATAGAGCAGTGGTTCCCAATCTTTTTTTTAAAAATACTGGGGGACCAGCAAACCAAAACTTTTGGCAGACTGGTAACATTTTATTTGCATATTCATTACAGAGCAGAGTTTGCCGATATCTACAACATTAAGAAAAAAATTCACAGAAAGAATTCCACTCTGGCTGCAGCATAGGGCACCTCCTCCCCCAGAGGCACCCTCTTTAGTAACTGAAATTGTTTCACAAGTGCTACCATCAGTCACCTCTGCCCTCTCCCCTTCCCCCACCATGGGTTGAGGGAGTGCCATTATACCTCCCCTTCTGTACAACCCCTGCCTTGTCTCTCCCTCCCCCATTTCCCCTCAGTCTCCCTCCATTGCACTGCTGCTCCCATCCCCCAACCTCCCTTCAGCACCTCCTGTCCCCC